AGAGAGAGAGAGAGAGAGAGAGAGAGAGAGAGAGAGCAAGAGAGCGAGTGAGAGAAAGAACGAAAGAGAGCGAGAGGGAGGGAGAAAAATGAAGTAGATCTACACCAACCCATAAAACGGGTCACTTGGAGCTGGATAAATACAAAATTTGCAAACAGATAGAGGAACGGAATAGGTAAAGAAGTAGAGCCAAATAAACATCTCAGAGCGAGTAGAACACTACACGTTCCAGATACACTCTCCAACCCCCCATGGATAACAAAATATTACATTCCTTACTACCGTAAATAGTGTATAAGTATGAGCCTCTTGCACGCTTTGTCGTTCTGCTAATATGAAGATACATAACGCCCCCATAATCGTGATTTTAAAAAAGTGTCGTCCTTAAATGAAGGCGCACACTTTGAGTGTGAGTAGAGAAAAGCATATCGACAAAATAACGACCACAAATTTTGTGTGAAGCAAAAACTACAGGACAGACAGACAGACAGACAGACAGACAGACAGACAGACAGTCAGACAGACAGACAGACAGACAGACAGACATGAATAAAAGAGGAGGGAAAGTGAAGAAATAAAACCTTTGAGTGGCCACCTCGGGCCCCCGGCCACGCACACAGAAATATGATATCTTGATATCGACTCTGAATAATCTTACGATTTTGAAAGAGCAAACAAAACAGTAAAGTTTCGTTTCTGAGCTCATGGTCTCATTACAGTTATAGTAACTCAAAACGGTATTTAAAAAATGTCAGAAAGAAATGTGTAACTCTAAAGTAGCGTAATGTAAATGCACATGGACACAAAAGTGGGACAAAGCCAGCAGAAAGCTCAGAAGTGTAAAGACATGGTTAGAAGGCACTGAATGCCCGAGCGTCAACAACAATTGTTATAAAATTGCATAAAGGTTTTATTTAACAAAATTCGTGTTCGCGCTGCATAGACATTGGAAGCTCAACAATTAACAGTAACAGTACAAAACTTCAGGAATGTTTTATTCCACAAAATACGTGTTCGCACCTTATAGGCATACATTTAATATTGGATGTTCAACAGTTAACAACATAAAACTTCAGGAATGTGTTATTCCACAAAATGCGTGTTCGCACCGTATAGGCATACATTTAACCTTAGAGTCGTACAGTTAAGAATAATAAAAATTCAGGAATGTTTTTTTTTCAATAAAGTGCGTCTTTGCACAGTATAGAAATAGTTTTAACATTGGATGCACAACAGTTAACAAAACAAAACCCCAGTGTGCTATTCAACAAACTGCGTGCTTGCACCGTATAGAAGCATAGATCTATTTTAACCTTCGATGCTCTACAGTTAACAACATAAAACTGGAGGAATGTTCCATACAACATAATGCGTATTCTCACGATGAAGGAATGCAAATATATAAAAAAAAAGAACAATGTAGGTCTCTCCAAAGGATTATACCGATATGCCAATGTGGAAAATGATAGGAGAAAAATAAATAATATTACAAGTATAATCTATTATTTGATATTCATTTTATCTGGAATGTCGAGGGTACTCCATATGGAAAGCAGACTTTTCGTGGTGCAAAATGTCGATAAATTGACAGTAAATATCTCTGATGATGAATGAGGTGCATGCGTATACATTAAAGGTATATAGAACTAATTCTTCCTTCTTTGGGATAATATTATGTTTTCATACGTTGAAGGAAAAGGAAGGAAAACCTTGTCCCTTCTCCCAATCTCTCACACTCCTTTGGACAAAAGAATCTCTCTCTCTCTCTCTCTCTCTCTCTCTCTCTCTCTCTCTCTCTCTCTCTCTCTCTCTCTCTCTCTCTCTCTCTCTCTCTCTTATCTGTCTTTGCCACTATCTCTTTTTGTGTCTGTCACTTTCTCTCTCTGTCAATCTTTCTCTCCATACTTTGTATGTCTGTTTGCCTGTTTGTCAGTTGCTGTCAGCCGCTCTTTCTCTCTCTCTTTCTCCATCTTATGTAATATTCATCCTCTCCTACCATATCTCTCTTCTTCCTTAATACATACAACAATTCTCATTCGATGTCTTCAAACTATCCTTCATAGCCATTGCTTTTTTACACCCTCATTCGCACTTATAAAAAAAGCCCTGCATCAAGGGAACAAATACACAACCAAAAGAATAGACAAATCTTGATCCTTTAGGAAGCGGGCTTCGACCATGCATGTCTAGGCCAACCCTGGATGAGAACGATACAACGAAACAGCAGAAGGACAGAGATACTCGAAAAACATTCTCCCCACACGCGAATCGAACTCGTGTCTTCTGCGTGAGACGGCAAAACGCCAAAGTAGTGACAGATACACCACACATGCTGCCTTTGAATGACGAAGATTCTCCGCAGATGCAAGACTTTCCGGAAAAAGCACAGCGTGATATCAGAAAAAACTACAGCTGTTTAAGACCGCACACTGTTTTTTTTTGGTACCAGTTTGCGTTCCAAACAATGTTTTGGGGGGTTTTAAGAGACTTCCCATGAAAAGTATAATGTGCTAAATCGAAAGAAAATGCTCCCAAACTCTTATTTAAAGAGATAGCCCCATAAAGTGTGTATCATTGTGAACCAATACAGCGCTTTACAACTTCTAAAGATAACAATAGATGGTGCAGCTTTCAGACAATGTCGTCATACTGTGGGGGCGCATCCTCATGGTCAATGTTTTGAGCACCTTCGGAAGTAACGTTTTGAGTAGAATTTGTTGAGTCTCCATTTTCTCCACTCCCCGTCTCTCCTTCGCCTATCACAATGTCTGCAGAAGCACTTTCGATGACTCGATTGTCTTCAGGAATACCCGCGATCTCCGAATATTTTGGCGGGAGATCCGAGTTCGTTCGAGACGCCGCCTCTTCGTACGAGGGAAGCACCACGGTTGACGGAATAGCCAACATGGCGAGCTGTGTCACCGTGAGGCCGTGGCTGTTCAGTCCTCCTGTCACACCCCCTGTGCCCGAGGAAGGGGAAGTAATTGACTGTCCAGAGCTTCCCCAGTTTCTCACTCCCCGAGAATTATTATTATTATTATTATTGTTACTATTACTATTATTATTTTGAGACGACGCAGTACGCTCTCCTGAAAATCCGACCGACGGAGACGAAGGGAAATCGATGGGTATTTGACAAGACAGCATCGCCAACTCTATGGGGGTCACAAATTCGTTGACATAAGGAGGCAAAGCAGCGTCGTTTAGAGAAGGGGAAGTTCTTTCCTGTGACCCTGCCCTGTTATTCTCCCCTCCTCTTCCTCCTCCTCTTCCTCCCCCTCCTTGCTTCCGCACACGGTCGCGAACTAAATTCACGATAAAGGCGATGGCAGCCATGAAATAACAAGAGGCCGAGAATATGCCACACAAGAAGAACAGGCCCTGGGCGTTGGAGAAGCTGAAGGTGGCCACACAGGTGATGATGGTGGTCAAGATGTGGCCGCAGATGTTGACCAATGAGCGCGCCAGCTTGCGTCGTTTGGGCGTGAACTTCTGGGTACAGGTCAGAGCTATGTGGGCGGTGGCGGTGGCGAGGCCGGAGAGTAGAGCTGTAGGTGGAAGAAATCATGTGTTAGAAATATATAGGAATATATATGCTTTTTTAAAATTTAGTAAGAGTTTTACGGCACTTTTAACACAATAAGGTCATAATATAGGTGCAGAAGAATAGATGTGTTACAAGAGAGAAACGAACACAAAATAGAAGGTTCACGATTATTGAAAGCCTGGAATCGTAGGAAGCGACTCCGAATCCAAAGATTTTCTAATGATGTGCTTTCTTCAGGTGGTTGCCTTGTTGGCTTCGAACAACTTCAGGATTTAGGATAACCTTGATTTTGGAACTCTACGAAGCACCAACTTTTTTGTTTTTTTTACCTATTTAGAATAGAAGATTTTAATTAATAGAGCAATTGGTCGCTTTTAAGGACAAGCGAGCTAACCCAGATTTCGAGGGTTTCCAGAAATCTTGAGCTAAGACAAAAGTGGGCATTGCCCTACCTATGGGAGAAGTTTGGTTTCATTGGTGTATACATTTGTTTGGTTATAAAGAAAACAGCTTGTTTTTAAAGAAACTGAACATGGGGCAAAAACTTTACCTTCTGTTTTCTCAAAAACTTCTTTTTTTCGGGATAGCCCCCTTGTGCTTAAAAGCGACCAACTGGTAACTCAAATAACTGTTGGTTTACGTAAAAGGAATCGGAACTTTCCTCCGTAGCACTAACCACAGGAAACTGTTTCGGAATCGATTCTTCGCCCAGCTCTAGTTTGGACAGAAACCGGGTCACCGTGCCCTCGTATAGATAATTATAGCCCTGAACAACAGCCCCGCACTCTCTGACCCTACTCAAACAGCGGAAGAGGACAGATCCAAAGTGCACCTGTGGGAATTCTCTGATGGGCTATTCCATGAAAGATTAAACTGCAGAAACCTTTGTATTGTTTGTTTTAATGAGGTTTTACGGCGCTCGCAACTGCATCATTTAAGGTCATATGAGCACCAAGAGGTGGATGTCAGCAGAGAAGTCCAAACAGGGAATAAGGCTTACTCTGCTCACCTCTCTAGCATCAACAGCACAAAGTTTGCTTCGACTATCAAGGCACACCCCGGAAATAG